TGCCCCTTGGATAAGGCAACTTAGGCTGCATTCCTGGATCCTGTGATGTGGGGGGAAAAGATGACTCAGGGGCTGTACTGTACTCCTTTTTTTTCTGAATATTATTTTAATTTGGTTTCAAATTTTTGTCACTAACCATAGCCTAAAGAGTCTATGAAAATTGCAGATAATGGGCAGTCCCACTTCGGTTGATCTGCCCCAGGGTTCTCCCTTCCAGGGGCACCCTTGCGTTTAAACCTGTGGTAGCCCAATATTACTATTTTATAATTCTCATTTTATCTCTCCCATTAGACTATTAAAGCTTCCAGTATCTAGCATAATGCCTGGCACATGGCATTAAGTAAATATTTGTTACATGAATTATTGAATGAAGAAACCAATAATTACCTGTCTTTTAAGCACAAAAAAATTTCCATTTAATGGTCTCACAGAATAAAAGAAGCAGAATGTTTCAAAAAGAGGATTTCATAAACAGTCAAATGGCAGTCAGACAAGGATTGAAAACTAACCTTTGGATTTGACTGTTAAAGATCATTGTTTTCTATGGTAAAAAAGTATTATAGCAAAATGATTAGAGTAAGAGCCATATTTAAGTGGGCTGAAGAATAAATGGAAAATGAAAACAAAAAACCAACATAGAATTTTGATTTTGGTTTTGTTTTGTTTTTAAAGATTTGATGCTAAAGGGAAGAAACCATTGGAGAGAAACCCAAAGATTTGAGACAGGGAAGTTCATTATCACAGTAAGTTTATGCATTTGATTTGAATATACTAAGTATTCCCACCTATGTGTCAGGATAATATATTTCTTGCTCTTCCGCTTGGTTTTGATATCTATCTCTTGAACTCGAAGGTTTTTGCTCTGCTGTTTAGGGTCCTCTAGTGGCCAATCTAATAATGACATATAAATAGTAAAACAATTAGATCTAATATATCATTCCTTATGCAGGTTATTCTATGAGGATTAGATGAGGGTGGGATATGTGGTTATAGCAATTAGTGATGCTTAATCAACTCTTTGATTTGTTATGGGTCAAAGCCTGACACTTAAACTTACTATGATTTTGTTTCCTTGGTGATAATTTCCTATTATTAACTGTTTGAACATTGCAGTATATCTTTGTTGTAGCTGCTAATACATTAAAAGCTGCAGTGTTAGATTTAGGTCCATTGTTATACAACTATTGGAACATCATATTTTATTTGAAGATTGTGAAAGAAAAGCCTGAATTACCAAATAAATAAGATTTGATTATTATGAAAGTAATGCACATTCATTGTTCATCACAAACTTTTAAAATATAGAAATAAAAAAATTATCCTCAATGTTGCTTCTCAATGTTTTGTTTTCTAGGATTTAAAAAATATTATAAAATGTTTCTGAACACTAAAAGGAACACCTCTGTATTGACACCTAGTAAAAAAAATAAAACATATTCAGTACAGTTGAAGCCCTTTCTGTACCCTTTACCTATCACATCCCCATATTTCCCTCCCAAAGGTAACCACCATCCCGAATTTGGTATTTTATTCTCAGGCACATTTTAGAACTCAATATATTGATATAAGTTATATATTCTTCAAATTGCTTCTTTCATTTAAAGTTATGTTTGTAAGATGTATCCATGTTGACATGTAACTCTTGGTCATTTATTTTTACTGCTGTCCACATATAGTAATCTTTCTCTGAATGTTCTGTGATTTATCCATTCTCCTCTTTATAGACTTAAGTTCTAAATGTTTTGCTTATAGCCTCTCATGATCCTTCTTGTACATGTTTTCTTATGTGTATGTGTACAAGAGTTCTCCAGGGCGGAAGCTTGGAAGTGGAATTATTTGGTTGTATGGATGTGCATCCTCAGCTTTACCAAATTGGTTTTCAAAGTGCTATACCTATTTACTGTTCTACCAACACTGTCAGAATTCCCCAATCTAGGGTGTTGTTAGACTGCTAAAATCTCGTCCCAGTCCTGTGGATATGAAACAGTATTTCTTAAAAACAACAACAAAAAAGACTTGTGTTTTAGGATATTTAAAACATGTACAAAAGTAGAGTGATTAGTGCAGTGACCCGTATGCGTCCCATCACCCTGCCTCAGCGATTATCAACATGTGGTCCGTCTTGCTTCATCTAGACCCGCACTCCTCTCCCCTCCTGGTGTTTTAAAGAAATCTGAAATGTCACACCACTTTATTTGCAAATTCTCATACATTTTTGCACCTAACTCTTTCATACAGAACCTCACTAACACTGTCCTACTAAAAAAAAAATGACAGTCTCTTAATGTTATAATATATCAAAGTTTTCGTTTCTCTAATTGGTTTATACTATTTTTACATTTGTGTCTTCAAATCAGGATCTAAATAAGGCCCATAATGGGCCGGCCGAGCNTTATCCATTGTGCCACTGGCCCAGTACTTGAATTTTCTCTAAATTGATCTATGGATTCAGTGAAATCCTCATTAGCATCCTAGTAGGCTTTGTTTGAAGAAATAGATAAGCTGATTCTATGAAATTATTCAAATGCAAAGTACTTAAGAATAGCCAAAATAATTTTGGAAAATGGACTGAGTTGGAGGCCTTTTGTTTCCTGATACCATGATTTTTCATAAAGCTACAGTGTAGTGTTGGCATAAGGATAGACATATAGATCAGTGGTACATAATAGAGGGCTCAGAAATAGACTGACACATTTTTCTAGCCAAGTGCCAAATCAATCCAATGGGAGAAAGACAGATGTTGCTCTAATATGATACCTATATGGAAAACAATGAACTACCATTCAACTCACTCCATGTTTAAAATGCAAAAGCAAAAACCATACAACTTCTGTATTATTTCTCACTTCATAACAAATTCCCAATACTGAGTGGCCAAAAGCAACAAATATTTATTACATTACAGTTACCCTGTGTCAGGAACTCAGGAGGAACTTAGCTAGGTAATTCTGGTGCAGATCAAATTCTACACCAAAAAAAAGTTGCAAAGTCTTTTTTTTTTTTTCTTGATTTTGTTTTGTTTTTCATCTTTTTTAGGCAGTGGGTGGAGATGAGCAAACGAAGGGATTGGCAGGCAGACTCCTGGGACCTACCTTATACTTATAAGATCCTGATTAGTAGTTCAGTCCTTTTGATAGTTAGTACATGATGTGGGGGAGGGAAGTGAATTATGCTATTTTAGGATTTCTCCCACAACCTTCCTTAGAAAGGGTGAGCCTTGGACATGTTGATGTCTAGTTGTTTGACATATTCTAGGAAAACTGGATCCAAAAGTTTTTATGTGGCTTTATTACCCAGAACCTGACAGCCATACTCTTATTTTCCTTTTAGTTACCAAACGGGTTAATTCTCTTTTCCACCGCGTTTAATTCTTATCTCTGTTGTGAGATTACAAAATGCATAGTATGATTTTTTAGGTACAATTCAACCTAATTTCAATTAGTGTTTCATTATTTAAAAATTTTTACAGGAAAATTGAACAGAATTTTTCCTTTTACCATTTAAGTTGTTCCTGTTATTTTAGTGTTAGTGATAAAATGTATTAGGAGGCAGACTCTTCACTGATAGAACATTTATTCATGTATTTATATGGTTCTTCACTAGGGTGACTATATAATTTATCTCCAAACCAAGACAGTTAAAAGCGTGAAAAGGGTAACTGACTAAACAGGATACCAGATAAGCATACTTAAACTAGGACTGTTCTGGGCAAATCAGAATGTATGGTCACCTGATTCTTAAGGCAAAAAAGTAGCTAGATTAAGGTCCACTTCCTGTTTAAATGCTTCACCTTTACTGGGAGAAGGCACTTGCCTAGAAGAGGGGTGGGAGGGAGAAATTCCCACTGTATTGCCAGCAGGAACAAGAGGCTCACTTGACTGCACTAGCCTCATGTGGAGATGAGAACATGATTGCAGATACTTTACTTGAAAACCAAAGTCTTACAAAAGAAATCCAGTTTATGCAAAGAGATTTAAACAATCAATTGTCTGCTCACAGGTTTGTTTTAGTAACTGTTTCTTCAGATGCAAGAATGTGCATCTGAAGCTTTAAGTTTCAATTGCTTTTGTTCTTGGGAGACAAATAATGCATCTTATATCCTTTCATAAGTCACATAAAATGTAGCAGTGTTCTATCATTTTAAATAGGAAATTCAGATATTAGCACAATGAATTAAAATAACAAATTGGATTAATTAAATGAGATTAAAAATAAAAGAACTATTTCTTTTTACCACCACTTGTATCAGTCATTATAGAGAACACATATTTCTTATTATTTAGGAGAAGAAATGTTTTCTAACTTCAAGGTAAACAGTGGTAAATTGAATACTGTTTTTTTAATGGAAAATAAAATATTTCTGTATATAATTTTCTATAGTCTTTGTGTTTTACATATCAGTATATTGAAGAAAAAGTTTTATATAATATTTTATATTAATTGTTTTATCTTTTTTATTTATTGTTCCAATTGGGTGTTTTCTGCTCTCTTGTCTTATAATTTGCTGATTCAATCCTCTGCTTCATTTAGTCTTCTGTTGATTTTTTCTAGTGTATTCTTCACTTCAGTTATTGTATTCTATATTTATGACTTTTTTTGTTGTTGTTTTTTTAGATTTTTATTGGGGAATTGGGGGATGGGAACAGTGCTGGGGAATTGGGGGAAGGGGAACAGACAAGTTGCTGTCGTTTTGTTCTTCA